GTAGTAGTAGTAGTAGTAGTTGTAGTAGAAGTCAGTCGCTTCCAGTGTGCTTTGGCCGGGTTTGGGCGGTGATTTTAGCCCATGTTGGAAGACTTGATCTTTCATGGACCAGTCTTCCAGCACTGTTTGGAACATGATCAAACAGGCACCAAACAGTCACCAAAAGCATCAGCATCCTCCTAGAGGATTCCGAGAGCTTCTCACCCAACCAGGCATTTTTCTGTGAACTTTCGCCTGCTTTCATCACTGCTTTCTTCCACTGTTTGCGCTTCTCTGGCTCATCGTCTTCCAGTTGTTCGAGTGTTCGGCTCGAGGACGCAGAGGGGCTGAGGGCTTTGGCTCTCACCGAGGATTTACAGAAGCTCTTGGATGGCGCCCCTTTGCTGCGTCAGGCCCTAGACTCTGACGAAACGACCTGGGAGGAAGTACACAGTGCGTCTGGGGCGGAAACAGGTGTCAAAAGGGGAACCCGTTTTTCTGGCCTGTCATGTTTTGTCAAATATGATCATATAATATGTGGATTTTGACTCGGCCTGACTCGGCCATGTGGTGTGGCTGTTGTTTATTTCGAATGAATTGATCGGCAGAAGAGCAAGCCTTGGACTTCCGGGTTGGACTCTCTGATGGTTCTCCACCAGCCCCTGGAAGATCAATCATGCAAAGATCTGCAGAGTAATATAATATATAGGGTTCATGTGCTATACTGTTTCTTCCCATGACACCCTTGTTTCGCAAACGTTGTTGCATCATATGTGGTGCATCATGGCTCGACTGTCAAGCGCTCCTACCTTATGGCCCTGCCGTTGAGATCATCGAGTTGGAGGGAATAGGGATTCCTTGAACCATGTTGAACATGCTGAGATGCTGGCTACTACCACTGACAAAAGAAGTGGTTTGCTTCTCGAAGCCCAGCACACTGCTCCAGCTCCCCAATGCTCCCCACATCCGAAGCACGCCTTTGCCTACCGTGTCACTGGATTCTTGAAGCAGGAAAAAGTCACCCCGCAATCCGAGATATGATAGTGCTAGCTGCTAGCTGTAATTTTGCTTGGCCATTGTTTGGAGCGTAGGTGTGAGGTCTGGGGGTCAGGCTTCCAGGCGTCCAGGCGGCCCAAAAAAGCCGGAGCGACATGTCCTTGTCCCGGAGATGGCTCTGAAGAGATGAGTTGGCTTGCTTCCGTTCGGAAGCAAGCTGATGGCAGACAGCCCGTTCAGAAGGACTTTGAAGAGACGCACAATCCATTTAGCTTCTGCCACGCCACCAGGGGGAGGGGATGAAAGCGTCCAAGGGCATAACATCAGTCCTTTGACTGGCACATGGCAAGGAATGGGTGGCATGGATCCAAAGTTTCCAAAGGAATCTCCATTGGGTCATTCATTCCCTCATTCCATCTCATACCAGTCAGTTGATGCTGAAACAAAGCCCCACCAAACAGCGCCGAAACCGCTGCTTCCGGTTCGAGTGAAGGCTGAGGCTCCAAGAGCTCTCAGGCCCGTGGCTGGAAAGCCCCCCCAGCAGAGCGCGCCACGCACGCCTGCAGGGGGAAGTGGCTATAGAAGGAAGAGTAATCCCAGAGGTGATCGTGGTTCCAGCAAAGACTTGGAAGAGTGAACATGAAATCAGCAGATTTTTACAATACTTCTTGTCTTCTTACGAGCAGACTTCCCATGAAACATCCTCAACGTAGCCCACCCCTAACGCTGAACAAAAGATGATCTCAATATATCTCAATGTCAAGCCAGCTAGAATCCCACACAAGGACTCCATTGGGCGGGGCAAAATGGGCCGCTGGCGGCCCATTTGGCCGCCAGATTTGCTTTTCTTCATCACCGCAGAAATTCCCCTGCTTCAATCCATCGAATCCCTTTCCGGGTGAACCACTCCGGAGTTCGGGTGCTTGTTCGCTTCTGCCATGGGCAACGCGAGCCCAGCCTGTGCGTCCAAGCTGAGCTGCTCGGTCGAAAGTGGCGGAGAACACCTGGAGCACCTGTTGAAGACGGACACGCCTAGCACAACCTGCAACAAACACACTCAATTTCATTTGGGCTTGTTGATTAACAACCTCCAATTTGGATTGCCAAAACTGTTCATGATAACATGTTCTTTCATGTTCTTTTGAATAAACACATTATATGAAACACCACGGTGTTCATCATATTTCAAAGGCTTGAGGTGCCCTTCTCTCTCGCACCGATGTCCACGACTGAAGTCCCTTTGGAAGAATCTTTGTGAATAAGCATACCTGATTACACCTGAACACACCTGGACCCTATACCGATCCGAAGTGCTAATATCAGCTGTCACCCCTTTAACTCTCCACGAAAAGCCACCATTTCGGAGACTTGTAGAGTCGTTTGCTGGTACACGCTATACATCAAGACTGCTTTACTTGATTTATCTCATACTATCTCACACATGTCTTTTGACTAAAGGGATGACATCCAGGGAAAATCAACTGAAGCACATTGTGTTCTTCCTCCAAAAGATGAATCCTTGTCTCCGACGGACAGCTGTAGTTTAACAGGTTGCGGCCAAGTGGAAGCGCAGCGGCCGGGGCAGCTAAGATGGGAGCCGCGGTCGAACGGGCTGAGCAGGTCGACTGTGAGCTACAGCAGTTGAAGTGATTTTGGAGATGCCAATCACCGATAAGCTGAGTATAGTTCATATTTTTTTGATGTTGAGAGCCAAGGCCAAATTATATATATGGCTTTCAACGGATGGAACGGGAACACCGAACCTGGATTGTGTTTGGAAATGATATCGATTTTAGATGGGGACCATCGAAGGTTTTGTTTTTGACCTTCGAGCACACGTGATCTCATTCAGACATCGAAGATCGCGTGGATCCTGAATCCTGAACAACCAAAGGGTGAAGGCAGTTAGACCCCCCAAACCTACCCCAACCACTTTCTCAGGAAGAACCCGGAAATGTAGGGAGGCTCTGAAAGTATGGGCCATGTTTGGATATGTTTGGTAATCCATGTTTAGCAGAGGTGGCCCCCCAAACCCCCACTTCGGCTCCGGCCAACCGGCCCTTGATTCCACCAGGCCTGATCCGGAGGAGGAAGAGGCCGGATCGCTCTCGGTGCATTGGGCTTGGATCCTGGGGCACCGGACGTGGTGGAACGAGTGCCAAAACGCAGGGCGAGCAGACCGAGATGATGCAACAAACCCGCCGCCTAGTACTGGTGAGTAACCCCCTGGGTTGTGATATAGATACGGTAGATCATGATTTTAAGCTTTCTCTTCCAGTCCAGCATGTCGGAAAGGGGTGTCGATGTGACCTTGCGAACGTTGAGAAAGGAGACCAAACCATGTCGACGGAATCTTCACCTCAAGTGGGAGATTCATTCCAATGCGCCTCAGAAGACCAACCGCAGCTCCAACCAATGCGCCCCACCGCCTCACGGCCTCACCTCGACCGCCTCACCTCGACCGTCCGTGCAGGAGGATCCTCAGTACGACGGCTCCGAGCGGGTCGATCGCTCCGGTCTGGGCTCGAAAGACTCGCGGCGGAACGCGCGCTCCGTTCAGGACGGGTGACGGCGAACGGATTTGCCAGGTTTCAAAGGACATACACAAATTTTAAAGGCAGGGGAGCAACGGCCAGTCTTCTTACGTTGCCCAACGAAGATACAGAAGACTGGTGGAAGCATTCAGGGACGCCTGAATGTGTACCTGCCATTTTCCTATACCGTAAAGAGCTAATGAGTTCCCTCCGTCTCACCCATGTTCAACAATACAAGTGACGCGGACTCCTTCACCATTCTGCTTGCCAGTCAAGGTCTGCGGTTATTGTATTCACTAGAGTGGGCTACCTTCACCGATTCAGCTCTTGTGAGCATCTCTCTAAGTGTGTGCCGCCACAGAGTCCCACTGCGGGCTGTGGTGTTATCCCCACCGAGGGGCTCAGCATGTGCATAGACCCAATTTGTTGGGGGATCCCTTCTGATTGTGCCTTTCCTTCACGTGAACTTCACTTGCAACCCCACTGGCTTACGGAACTGCACGAGACTGCTGATTGAACGCCGCAGGGCTTACTGGGATTGAATGCTGCAGGGCCCACTGACTTACCTGCGCATGTGCGAACCACGAAACGACACGAAACGAACTCAGAGTACGGCCGACCGTGACGTGAGGGAAGTGAGACACATGTCACATGAGGCTTTTAGGATGGGGGGCACACTGATTTTTTATTCCACGGGGGGTGTTACATATCAGAATTTCCTTTTTGTAATAATTTCTAGTGGAATCCTTTTTTGGCATGGAGGCCTGACGTATATGTCAGTACCCCCCTCTGGAATAACAAAGTACAACATGTCGGTGAATGAAGTTGAATCATCTGATTTGAATGGCTCCATTCGTTCTTGTCTCAAGCCAACAGGTAAATGAAAAGGAATGAAAAGATAAGCATCAATCAAACCCAAGTGCAAAATAGACTTCAAAACACATAAAGGAAACAATAGAAGTCTTTTGACATGATGTTGAATGACCTCTGGCAGAATAATGTCCAATGATTTTATTATTCCTACCCCATCAAAGTTACATGGAGGATATTCACAACACCTATGTAAAAGGGTGTTGGAATTATTAATAAACTATTCTGAGAGGGGGGTTACGTCCACCCCCCCAAGGCACCCCCCATCTTTTAGGTATCAGGTGAAGCTTTAGCCAAGGGAGATAAGAGAGCACCGTATTCGGCCAAACGTGACGTGAAGGGAGTGAGAAATGTGAGGCCTTTAGGTATCAGGTGAAGCTTTAGTCAAGGGAGCGCCGTATACGGCGAAACGTAACGTGAGGAGAGTGAGAAACGTGAGTGGGTTTTCTGTTTTGGTCCGTTGGGTTTTTCTTTCCTGCTGTTCCTTTTCGTTTTCTTGAGGCCTTTCTTTAGGTTCCAGGTGCCTTTCAGTCAATCGAGCGCCGGTTACGGCTTTGCTTGAGCGCCGGTGACGGCAATACCTTCGGGCCACCCCAACCCACCCTCCCCCTACCTCCTTGCACCTAATCCGTTGCTATCCCACCCGCTATCTAGGGTAATAGAAGGAAATCGCACTCAACATACTTGTGTGTTGGTGCCTTTCCTTCTGTTTCTCCTGTCCTAGTCCTACCTACCCGGGCGGTCTAAGACTAAAGTCCCGCTCGCTAACTATTGCATTTACTTCATTCCGCTACATTCCGCTAAGTAATAAGTAATTAGAAGGTTTCATAAATAGTGGGCCTCGTCACTACACCTACCTTTCTCTCTTGCCCTCTTCGTTTTTTTTTCTGTCTTTCTTTCCTGTCTCTCTAAGGCTTGTTAGGTGGCCATTTTAAAGTGGCGCGTTGATTTTGTCGGTTTCCGGACAGCGATGTGTGGTCCTCTACCCCTATCTTTCCTTCTTGCCTTTTTTCTCTTGCTCTTTCTGTCTTTCTTTCCTTTCTTCCTAAGGTCCTAAGGCTTGTTAGGTGGCTATATAGGTGCTCGGGATCCTGAACCACATCTCGTTTTTCCACGGAAACCCTTCAGAGCGCCGGACCACGGCTCTGTGTGTGTGTGTCGCTTCCTGTGGCAAACGACATACACAAATTGTAAAGGCAGGGGGGCAACGGCCAGTCTTCTTACGTTGCCCAACGAAGCTACAGAAGACTGGTGGAAACATTCAGGTACGCCTGAATGTGTACCTGCCATTTTCCTATACCATAAAGAGCTAGTGAGTTCCCTCCGTCTCACCCATGTTCAACAATACAAGCGGCGCGGACTCCTTCACCATTCTGTTTGCAAGTCAAGGTCTATAGTTTGCAGCGGGTATTGTATTCACTAGAGTTGACTACCTTCACCGATTCAGCTCTTGCGAGCATCTCTCTATAAGTGTGTGTGTGTCCTGTTCTTCGGATCCCCATGGAGATGTTTTTGGTTTGGATCTATCCTTGGAAAATTTCCTCTATATGAAATGTTTGTGGGATGATAACCGATTATAAAGGGGTGATGTTTTTTCCCAATGGAAGATGGGGCTTAGTCGATGGGCGTGGGTCAAAATGGGTTTGCTAAGCAGTACCCTACAAATGACGGAAGGTTGGCGTCCCTTGGGCCCTTGTTCATGTTCATGGGTAGCCCGGGTTACCCACCGACAGTTGGAACCGAGCAGGTTTGCGAATTTGTATACAGTACACATATAGGAGTGACTGGTGACTGGCTGGAACACCATCGGCCCCTTTTCTAGTCCAGGTGTGATGGATTCAGGTTCAACTTAGGTGTGTGAAGTGACTTTGATTGACTGATTGACATTGCTGTTCCAAATTGATGTGCAATGATATGCAACGCAGGGACTGCAGAACTGGTGAAATGCCGCAACCCATGGGGCGGGTTCCCTGCAATATATGACCCACACAGACCCATGGATGTTTGCAAGAAGACACATTCACCAATAAGAAACCTGGCAACTCAGTCACGCAAGAGTTTGTTTCACCAAAAATGATACAAATTTCGACTAAAAGTCCTACACTCAGGATTCCAACTACGTTTCAGAGTGGATGGCACAATTTCCCCCAAGATGTCCTTTAAATGGGTCCATAGGTCCATATAAACCACCGGACTTGGGGGCCCAAAAGTGCCATCTGCCGGGCGTTCGGGCAGCTCCGTTCACCGCTCAGTTCACCGAGCCGCTGTCCAGGATGATCGTGCTGGGACACCATCCATCTCTCGGGCAGCTGTCCAGGCGAGAATCCGTAGAATTCCCAGTATAGAAGATTTCTTCTATAATATTAATCAATAGTACAAGAATGCTACTACTAGTAGTAACTAATGCCAGCCCCGTTCGTAGCGTCTCAATTGCCAATTGGGTAGGGACTCCTACATGGACTTGGGTGCCGAACCTCCACGGGCTTTTGGATGAGCCAAAACCACCCCCGTCTTGTGACTCCTGGGTACCGTTGGAAGTAGTGTGGATTTTAAGGATATTTAGGGGTAGTCTTGCGAATCATTGCACCCAAGTAGGCTTTGGGAGATGTCAATGCGCACGTCAGATGATTTAAAACGCCTCCAGCCTCATGTTTTTCTTGGGTTAAACAGTATTGGAAGATATACCGTCATCGGAAAGAACCACCCGTTTCGTCCAATGAGGTCTTCCACTCACAGCACTCTCACCACTCTCCACTCCACAACCACCGCCCCCCTGCGAGGCGGCGGCCAAGCTCGAGACGCGGGTGGCGGGGCCGACGATGTCCATGGAGGACGCGCGCTCCGTGGAAGACCCCGTGATGGTCGAGTCCGAGCTACTGGTGCAGGCAGCTGGCAGCCTCGAAGGGCGGAGGAGTGGTCCGTGGAGAAACTGGGGAGTGGTCCGTGGTGAAACCGTGGTCCTGTTTTGGGTGGCGAACTTCACATTGGACATTTGCTTGACATTTGCACGGTGACGAGCTGGTGATCAACACTGCAGGCTGCAGGCTCCAAACGGTGTACACAGACTCAAAGATGTGTCACATGTTGGTTGGCAGGCAAAGCCGGCGAAGGCCAAGGGGGGTTGGGGTGTGGGGTGATGTACCACGCTTGTGTGCTTGAGTGTTTCTAGCTTGCTTGGGTGTTCGAGTTGTTTTCTTTGGAACTTATGGATCGCCTTTGGACTTTGAACACCCCTTTGACAGTTCAGAAATGTTGTGGTATGTTATGTTGGTCGATGTGCATCTTAATTAGGTCATCACCATCATCATCATACTCTAGTATCAGTCCTTTTTGCAGGTTTTGTGGATCAAGATTCTCGAGATCCAGAAGCTCCTGTAGACCGCCAAATTGATAGAAGTTCGTACATCCCCACTAGAAATGTACTGTATTCGAAACCGTTTCTACCTTGAGTCTCCAAAGACCTTTTTTTTCTGCGTTTTTGTTTTTGGTCTAATATTTTTGCGTTTTTGCTCGAAAAACGTGTTTTTAGAAATGAGGACTCAAAAAAAGGTGCAGAGTGAATCTTCATCCGGACGCGTCCGGCACGGACGCTTAAAGACGCCTTTTGGATGCAAAAAGATGCGTTTTGGACGCCGAAAAAAGGTCTCAGGACACTGTCTAAGGAGGATCTGCCAGGGCACACACAAAAAAGGAACATTTCGTGACATATGCAAAAAAGAGTGCTTTCTTTCAAAAACCTCTTTTTCTTGGAAAGGCAAATTTAAAAGGGTCATTGGAGCCTCAAGGTATCTATTTGGGGCCCTGAGTTGGTTGTGCAATTGAGTTCGGATGCGAAGTCTGAACCCTTCAGAACCAGAGAGTTTACTTCAGGATTCACTACCCAAAGTCCACCCGCAGGGGCAGGGGGATTGAATCATGGAGTTGTGCGATCTCCTTGAGCAGTTCCTATAGAGCTTTTTTCCACTGTTTGAAGCATGCTCAGAATCCACCAATGGACCCGTTAAAACCATGTAAAACCTACAGCAGTAAAAACTTGATTGCAATTTGCTGAATTCATAGTGAATCGTTCCTTGGAAGAGCATCCTCGGGCGGATCGTTTTTCTCGGCGCTCCAGGGGCCGCAAAAGAAGCGCGGGGGCCCAGGTGACAGGCGAGGATAGGCCACCGGCGCGGGACGATCGCATGGTGTCAAGAAAGGTGAGCATGGGCGACCCCACAAAGCCCACCCAGACGCTCATGGACCCAACTAACTAGGGGCCATACCCGAATCCTTTGGAGGGGTCCGGACCCCCAAATCCCTATTGTTTTGAGGGAGCAAGGCTAGATTGACGGAGCAGTCGAGCCAAAAATAACAAACAAAGAACTGTCCAACTGCCCCAACTTTGGACCGAGAAACGGGATGGAAAGGGATGAACCAATGGATTGTAGACATCAGAGCTCCAGATCTTCACTCTGGTGTTGAGCTCCAATTTCTTTTCCAGTCACCGAGTTGGGCGTTCGTGAGGTGACCCTTGTTGGAACACCTTCGCGAGCGCAACGGACACCGGGGATGTGGGTCAGCTGGAGCGGTTCCTCATCGTCGCTCGCACCAGTGCGATGTGGGGCATGACCCCTTTACGGTAGCCAGCTATACGGTTGGAATCTTTCTACACAGTTGCAGGTGCCAGTTGGCAGATAGTGATCAGTTGCTGCCTGGTGACATCAACGTGACATCAACCCAGGAGCCCCTCCCCACTAGTGAAGATGTTGTATTATGTTTAATGCTGAAAGACAAGAGATTGGGAGCCTTCTGAACCAGTCTGGCAGGATTCACTTTGTCGCGAACCTAATGTTTTTTTTACTCCCCTTGAGACTGTGGATGTGCATGCTGTCGCAGCTCATGCAGCTCTCAAAACAGCAAAGGCAAAAAGATCACCCATGAACAGGCGATGAGTTCTGGAGACTTCAGCTTTGACACACCTGCCATGCCTTTCATGCGGCAGAATGCGAGTGACGCACACGGAGCCGTGCCATTGGGTGAACAAAACCACACATGGTGCAGACAAAACCACACGACGACGTCCGCTCCGATCTGGAAATAAACACAAACCACCACACACCTTGTCCATCCTTGTCCCGCATTGGTGCCAGATTCTCAGTGCCAAAGCTGATGATGCCTCACCCCGAGAAGTCTCAGGCGTGCAGCTGGTCCCATTTTTCATGGGGTACCGGGAAATCGCGGGTTTTTCGCTTTCTGCCTTGCTTTCTGCCCGCGGCGGAATGGGTGAATGATGGGGAATGAGTCGGGCGAAGTGGTCTAGCCCTGGACACCCCCCCTGCACACCCACCTCAGGGACCGAAAACAGTGCCGGGCGAATTGCCCATCTACCGAATGACAGCTGTGGTAGACTTAGAGCACCCAGCAGGGCTTAGGAGCCAACATTGGGAGCAAATCATCAGGGCTTAGCCAGCGGAACATGTTGTTCGAGGATGTGACAAACTGTGCGGCTCAGCAGAGCCACAGAAAACTACTGTTGAAACTCACGCAGCTCAGGGTGTGGCGTGCTTTTTGCGTGAGGTCGGACAACTCTTGATACATCCAACATCATCCAACCCAGGTCTATGCAGGTCTGAAGAAGAAATACTGTCCAGTCACAACTTCACATACCTGATATACCCCAGTGGGTTTAATACACTACACTTGATTCACATGATTGTTCAGTAGCGCTAGAAAAGAGTGTTGCACTGTTTATTGGAAGAACTTGTGCTGTGATGTTCTTAAGCTGCTCGAATTGTTTTAACAAACACCAATGTCCAGTGACAAGTAAGCTGCAAGTGGAACATTCTGCAGAGAAGTCGAACGGTGATTTTTTGAGAAAGGTGGTCAGGTACTCGTAGCGATTTCTTCAGACTTGTAGTTGGAAGAAGGGATGTCTAGAGATATTTACTGTATGCATCAGGTTTGGAAGGCTCGGGCTTGCATGTTTCATCCCACTGATTGCCAATGTTATGTTATTTGGCAGTCCAGTTTGCCTAGTCAACTATACCAGTGTGGGGATATGTCGCAAACGTATGCAACAGTTATCCACTGATTTGCGATTCACCAAGTAGGCAAGCAACAGTAGGCAAGCGACAATAGTCACTTCTGAAGATTGGAGCAAAGTGCCAAGACTCACTTTTACTCAACTCCTTGCACCCATAGCTATGTGCGCCCTTAGTGTCAAGGGCTTAAGCGCCGGCCTAAGCAACAAGGAGCTGCGGAAGGCCTTCTGTACTGCAAATGCCATTGCGTTCAGTAACGCAACTCACAACAATTCCAAATTCAAAGCACAAAATCACATTCAAATCACATTCAAATTATGGCTGCAAAAAAAAAGAAACCCTCCTAGCAAAGCGGAAGAGAATCGAGGGGTGGAGCAATTTCAGGCCATCGTGGCCTTAATGCGTGCTCCTCTCAATTCAGCAATGTAGGAAGGGTCAAGTCTGCTGACCACCCTGCCGACATCACATAGGTCATTGCGTCAACCGTCAAGGCAGCAGGCGCTGAATAGATTTGGTATCCAGTAGCACTTTGCAAAATTTACTGACAGCGGCAAAATCCCAGGCGATGGTTCGCACGGCCCGACTGTACGTTACGATCCAGCTGAATGCACCAAAAGAGTCAGGGTCAGGGGAGGCTGCCGCCCCTGCCAAAAACTACACATCCGGCCAAGAGCCAGAGGAGCCATCCAGTCATCAGTCAAGAAGTCACTGTCGAAGGGGCTCACTTTGCCCACTTGCACTTTGCTGCAGCTTCCCCTGACCAAGCTGCCCGGAGAGGGCTTCGGCTTTCACAAAGAACACTTCTCGACCAAGAACTCAAGCAGCTTGGCAGCATTTTCAGGCTTCTTTCTTGGAATCGCCAGCCCGTGGTTCTGAAGTTGGCGGAGCACTTGCGCATCCAGCGCGGTGAGGCGCTGCTCCACGGTCTCCCATGCACCTCGTCACTGGGAACATGGCCTTCAATCAAAGTCTCAATGAATCTGGCTGCCAGAGGAGGGAAGGGTGAGGCGCCCCTTTGCACTCGTGGTGGCGCCGACTTGGCAGGTGTGGGGAGAGCCCTGAGAATGCGCTCTTCCAGTTTCTTGAACTCTGCCTCCCTTTGCTCATGCTCGGCTCTTTTCTTTTCTGCCTCACGGGCAGCAGCAGCAGAAGCCTCTGTTTCCTTGCGGAACTAGCGACAATAATCAGTCAGTGATGTGGTGCGTGAGTGGCGTCTTTCGTTTTTCTATTCGGTGAGTGAACTCGATCATGTGCCTATATAGTACAAACCAGTAGTATGGCCTATAAGCAGGGGAATGTTTCCTCCACCCTTACAGGGCGCAAGATGACGGCAACTTGTCGGCCTGAAACATTTTCTTTGTAGACCATCGGGCTACACATATGCACGTCTCAGATAAGCTCAACATATTGCACATGATGCCCTTGTAGTAGTAGATTTGTTCTGAGGTGTTAAATAGTTAATGTTAAAACAACATATATATATATATCCTGCGCATCGGTTTGCCGCAATGTGCATTTTGATGTTCGACCCTTCTTTGTTTGAGATTGATTATTCGTTCACAGGAACCAGAGTTTCCTCAAGAGCTGAACCTGATACATGGTTTGCAATACAAACTTGGGTCATTTATTTGCACATCTTGGCATCCTGTGAACATCCAGGCACCCTCCTAGTCAGACCGATCCGTACTGATCTTTGCCTCCGCTGACTGACTCCAGAGCAGAGTCTCAATCCACTGACCTTTTTCGCGCCAGGGCAATGGCGACCTCGAACGCTGTGCAGAGATCGCTTCAGAGGCCAGAAATGGGCATCGTGTGGTTTCATTCTCGACATGGCAATGGCGGGAAACTGGACATGGATGGAGTGCTGGAGATATAATATACTCCGCAGCGTTGACAATAGTTTGGACCCTTAGGCGGCGTGATCAGTTGTCGGCCATCGTGACTCTTAATCCAACAGATCGGAAATTGCTCATGTTCACCAAAAAACAGGTTCTGCACTCTAGCTTGGACGAATCAAGGGTGTGGGCACCCTTTGTTGCTAAAAGTTCACTATACTCACACCATGAATGGTTTAAACCAAACCCTTCAGTGTCGCCATTGCAGGGGTAGGTTTTCTAGCCGTTGTAGATTGGTTAGCAGGAAGTTGTTGGTTGTCCGTGCGGTGCGAAGAGGCGGTGGTCGCTTGATGGTCGCTGGTTGAGACAAAGTTGGATGAATGGCGATCCTCTTTGGGGATGATTTGGTGTGCCGGACCCAAACTTCGGGATGTTCTTCTCAGAGGCTGAGTTTGTTTTCTATAGCAGGTCAGGTAAAAAGGGTCCGGACCCCTGACTGCTGACTGCTCCATGGGGTTGGTTGGTGGGTATGGGATCGGCCGTTGTTCGCCCAAGCCTTGGCTTTTCAGCGGTGAAGCATTCAGCTCTTGGGGACCTGAAGGCTTCAAACCAGGACTTTCCGAAAGCTGGGTGCTGATTTGGTCGCCTGAAAGTGGTCTTTGATAGTTGACGCACATTGTGTTTGTGTGTTTGTGTGTGTGTTCAAGATCTTGCTTTCTTCGAGGCCGTCAGCCATCACTATGCATCCTTGAGCCACAAGGAGCAGAGAAGGGCGTGAAGAGGGCAAGTTGTACTCAGTCATACTCGGTCCCTGACAGGTGGAACAAAAGTCCTATGACATCCATTCCAGTTCCGTATCGGGATGGAGGCAGGGTACGGTATGTAAAGGGTCGGAAACCATGCACTCACTTGGGGGTCGGAAACCATCCCCTTTGGAACGCATAGTTATTAGACTTTGTTGGAGAAGAGAACTATACCACAGACTGTTGTCAGATGATGAGGTGAATGATTCAGACATCTATGAGTATTTGGACCTGTATCAGGCAATGAACGAGTCACGTGGGGTATAAGCTTTGGGTTAAATTTGGTCTATGAAATGTACTTAGAATTGGATCCCCTGCCTGCAGGGGTGTGTGCAGGGGGTACAGACTCCCGCCTGGGAGTCTCTTGGGGGAGATGCTGAAGATCCTATTGTTCTTGGTGAGCAATTCCAACCAATAGGGTATTTCTGCTGCGGCGGTTGAGCAGTAGGCAGAAACTAAATCCCTCTTTG